ACTGTCATTCCGTGTTATCCTGGATAAATACTTAGGGTACATGTCAAATTCTGACACGGTCTACCAGTAAGTTTACATATATCATAAAATGTTATATTACAAAGGGAGGTCAATTACCTTGATCATCACAGGGAAGCCAATGTCATGGGCAAGCTTGACTGCTTGCTCTGTACTCTATAAATCAAGAAAAAGTAGTATTAACAAAGTTCAAACTCACACCATTTATGTGTATAAACTTGTTCTACCAAAAACTATTTACTAAATGTTACACCTGTAACAGTCCATCACTTCCTGGAACAGTGGGAACACCTGCATTCTTCATTGTCTCTCGAGCTGTTGATTTATCACCCATAACACGGATACTGTCAGGCTGCCAAAATGTAATCATGCACTCAAGGTTTTTTCATTGAACAAAAAATTACAACAAAAACTTCCAGAATTATCTAAATGAACCAAGAATACTAACAACTTCTGTATGAAATTTCCTTAAACAGGAGACAATTTAGATATTCACAATGCATATACTCTTAAGGGTGAGTTCTCAAAAGCACTGATTTGGTTACACTGTATAAATATTTCTTCACAACTTGGTTATCATGAATACGGCCATATGACTTCTATGGTTGTTTTGTGTAGAGAGGACTCAAACACTAATACAACAATTATGATTACATGGACTCCAGAACACAGAAATGATACCATAAGTTACTTAAGTTGAGAAATGACAACTGATTTTCTAACAATAAGACAGTTTGTTCATAGTTTATTCTCCATGTACTTACATTTGGGCCAATAAAGTTGATTCCGTGTTCTTTACACATTTCAACAAATACTGCATTCTCAGCAAGGAAACCATATCCAGGATGCAACATAGTACATTTTCGGCTGATTGCAGCAGATAACACATTTTGAATCAACAAATACCTGAACAAAGACAGGTAAACACATGCATTCTGCCATTAAAACTAGAGAATAGGCAGGATGCACGAGCATCAAGATGAACGAACATGATGAGACTAAATATAAGACCGATATACAAAAAAAAAGCCATACACGCAACTATTTGAGCATGGAGAGTGATATACACCAGTCATTTATATTAAACAGTTTGTGTTAAGTTTCTCCAGATTTTGGTATGAATACACAATTATCCCTTAAGCTCAGTAAGAAATGCAGATTATTTTTTAAAATTTGCTACCAAAATAATCACTTACAATTGGTTTATTAATAATACATGCAAAGTTTGGATGTACCTAAATATGCAAGTTCTATACTTCTAAATATTTTAGGAGAAAAGCATAATGCAAAGAACAGGTAAATTAATATCAGCTATTGCACAATAAAAAAACCTGATCAAGGTGCATTCTAGACTACTAACTGAACTAAGAACTGCAGAGATTGTTGCTCTGGCTTTTGGGTGCAAGTTTTTAACTTCTCACAACTTCTCTGCCTAGCAGGCTTATCTACTTAAAGTTTTCAAAGACATGAACAAAAAAAAAAAAAAAAAACGGACAAGGAGGTTCACTTTAAATTTTTTCTTTAAAGCCCATGTTCCTTCCCTTCTCAAATAATCTCTGTCTTAAAGGTTACCCACTTCAATGCCACAAAAATAGGATTCCAAAAACAGTAATTATCTACCATGTATAGAAAGTAACTAGAGAAAAGTGTTAAAAATGATGATATTGATTACAAAACATAATTAAGGAAACCATAAAGCAATAAGAGAGGAGTACTAAAATTACATACGATTGATTGCTTGGGGCTTCACCTATGCAAACAGATTCATCGGCCAACTTCACGTGAAGAGCATCCTTGTCTATTGTTGAGTAAACAGCAACACAAGGTATACCCATCTCATGGGCAGTTCGAATTACACGAACAGCAATTTCTCCTCTATTTGACACCAGAATTTTCTCAGCCTGGCATGTAGCAGCAAGAGCTCCTCCATGCTTCTTAGGTCTATGACTAACTCGGGTGTTCTGAGCCCTCTGCCTTGGAAAGTTTATCTTTCTTCCCACCATAAAGCTACATTGGGAACTTGGACTCCCAATCCCTCCAGTTTTTGCCATAAATAAACCCTTCTACAGAAAATAAATAAGTAAAAGCAATTACACAAACTAAAGTCCAAGGATGAAATCCATGTTTTGCAAAAGATTTACCATGCCAAACATTTCCTTTCACTGTAATTGACTAGTTTTCAACAATCCAATATTCCAATTTAACAAGAAACCGCATGACCATAGATCAGGAAATGTATGAAAGATAAACTACCTTTTAAACTCAAGAAATCATTATAAGCCGAAAACCATTCAAACACAACTCAAAGCACATTCAAGCTTCAATCTTTTAACTTGTGAGTCGATTATAGTTAGACCCAATTTCAAGAAATACATGATTCAAGAAAAAAAAAAATGCTACTTCACATGATTTCGAGAGCCCTTCAGCTACCCAATAACTTAAAAATGAGAAATTGATATAAAAACACAGCATAAAGAGCAAAACCCAAGAAGCAAGAGCAGCAAAGAGACTTACAGGAGGTGAGGTAACAGATTTACAGACAGACATTGAAACATCCATTGCCATTTGACAAAGCACCTATTACAAAACAACCCACTTGATCAAACCAGCATATGATTCATATAAAGCAAGTAGATCTAATGCAAGGCGAAGGTGCAACAGAACATTACCGACTTTGACCTGAAGAAGAAAGCAGAGAGAGAATGGGAAGCAGATGGAGGGGAAGAGGAGGATATGAAGGGTGAAGGTGCCGATGAAAACGAGGGGAGTGTCAGCTTGAATACTCCGCCTAAGTGGTTGGGGACTTCAGCTCACGCAGTTTTACCTTTCCATACGGTTCTATCCCTGCTTTTGGATTCTCCTTTCTAAGGGCTTGATGCCACGTTCCAAAGTATGGAGCCGCAAGTTGGTTTCGGCCTTCCCGGTTCGGTTCAGCTGCCCAACCTGCCATCACTGCACCATGTCAACATCCGCTACCAAACAACGAAAAGTAAAAGGTTGATGTTCAACTAATTCAAGTGATGCTGTGAATGACATCTAAACAAATGTAATTTCTTTAGATCTATCAACCTGTGTTGGCATGTTGGTGTGCGCTTAAAATTGTTAAGAAGTGATTCTTGCTATGAAAGAAAGATTCTCCTAAAAAAATTGATAAATTTATTAATTTATGTATATTAACTTAATTAAAAACTATATGTAAAAAAACTATATGTAAAAAGATAAAATTGATTCGACAAATAAATTGCATTTGTACTCAATAAAATAACATTACTACACTTGTTTTTATGAAGTATTTATGTTCCGAAATCAACCACAAAAGTTAAATTAATTAGTAAGCGAGTGGTAATGTTTGTAAGAATTAGTAAGCAAATGGTAATTTTTGTAAGTTGAGTCTAGTACTTATGTTATAAAGTTAGCAGTATATCATGTTAATGTGAAAGATTTGTTCTTAAAATTGTTTAATTCATTAGGAGATTAATTTTACAATACACACAAACTAATTTGGCATATTTATTGTCCAAAGTCCAAACTAGGAAAAATAATAGTTGAAACATTAATAGATACTAATGTAGAAGATGTTAAGTGAATGCTTTTGGTGTTGAGAAAAAAGACTGACCAATGGATCAGCTAGTTTGGCATAAACTTGGACAGACATGCCTGCCCCCAAAAATTTTGGAAACCATTAAAACAGCATGGATTTTTTATTAATTTGCCCCCAAAAAATCTTTTTTTAAGCAATTGGCCCCCTAGAAAAAATTTTAATCAATCTTTGTCCCTGGCCATGATTCCCCATCAGGTACCAATCCCCGAGTCCAAGTTCAAGGCAACGAGGTTGTATTAATCATCTTTCACCTAAACTCACTTTTGCTCTTGCACCCAAAAACAACTCTCTCTTCTTCTTTTTTTTCTTTGTTTTTGGGTAATTTGAAGTTACAAAATAAAAAAAAATAAAAAAATAAAAAAAAAAAGCTCTTTCTATTTTTTAATTATAACTCATTTATATATAGAATTCAAATTCAAAACTCATGAAAATTAACACTGAACACAAATTCAACCTCCCTAATATCCTGCTTAGAAAGTCAAGAATTCCCCCCTAAGATCCTTTTCACAAGTAGTTTTAAGCCACCAAAATTCATTATTACTTTTTCATATGCTATTGGTAGGTTTAAAACATGCTAACGTAGACCAGCCCAAGAGGGGCGACTGGAACTAATTAATAGGCTATGATTATCGCCATGCATATCGCCATGCATATAACTGCGAAGGTTATGCAGATGCATTTTTTAATTTTATCAATTTATAATTGATTGAAATATTTAAAAATATTAATGAATAAATTAATTTTAAATTATTAAATAATAAATATTAATTATTTTATCAATTATTAATTAATAATTACTGTTATCAATTGTTTTTTTTTTTTTTCGAACAGTATGAAACTTTTTTAAAAAAAGAAGAAGGGGATGTGAGATATGATCTCAAGTTTACTAGTTCTACGCACGTTCAACAGGGGTGGCCACTAGGTCACCAAGTGCGGGCTGTTATCAATTGTTTTTAATAATTAAATCAAATATAATCATAATATTTGTATAGTTATCACATTTATGTGTGACGATAACGAAGTCTGTAGTTAACACTGGCATCTCCTTAGTTCTCAATCTCAACTGAACTACACCCTCGTCTAACAGGGCAAATAAGAGAGAAAGTGAACGTCTTTGTGATTGTCTTTGACCAGGCCTTGGAGTTGCACCAGCCCCCACCTAATCCTAAAAATATATCCTTACAGGTACAAGTTTCAGAGCTGAGCAAGCAACTTGGACTTGGCTCCACTTACCAACCACAAGAATTTGGTGGCTTTGAAAATAAGCCTACTCCTCTTCCTACCTTGATTTCCCTTCAGCCCATGGATTCATTCAAAATCCGGGGGCACCAACTCCTCCCCGCCAGCTATTATATAAATCCCTTTCCCATATTCAAAAATTGCTCAACTTTGTAGTTTGAATTGTTCCATCTTCATTAAACATGGCTCTCCAAGCTTCTGCAAAATCCATATTTTGCATTATACTCTCCCTTCTACCTATCGTTTCATTAGCCAAAAGTTTGTATCCTCCACTTTACGCTGATTTAGATGCAATCATACCTACACTAAAGCATTATATCCCTTACGCTCTCGCTCTAATTCCTCTATTCTTCTTCATTTTCCGCTCACTTTTCACCTCTTCAACTTCCCTCCCTCCTGGCCCACTCGCTCTTCCCATATTTGGAAATTGGCTACAAGTAGGGAATGACCTGAACCACCGTCTCCTAGCTTCCATGTCCCAAACCTATGGCCCCGTTTTCCTCCTCAAGCTTGGTTCCAAAAACTTAGCCGTGGTATCTGACGCTGAACTTGCCACCCAAGTCCTGCACACACAGGGTGTAGAATTCGGCTCTCGTCCCCGTAATGTTGTCTTCGACATCTTCACTGGGAATGGACAGGACATGGTGTTCACCATCTACGGTGATCACTGGCGTAAAATGCGCCGTATCATGACACTTCCGTTCTTCACTAACAAGGTGGTGCACCAGTATAGTAGTATGTGGGAGGATGAGACGGATGCCGTGGTGGCTGACCTGAAAAAAGACGAGAAGGCGAAGAACGAAGGAGTCATTGTAAGGAAACGGCTGCAGCTGATGCTGTACAATATCATGTACAGGATGATGTTTGATGCAAAGTTCAAGTCAATGGAAGACCCCCTATTCAAGGAGGCGACGAGGTTCAATTCCGAGAGAAGCCGGTTGGCTCAGAGTTTTGAATACAACTACGGTGACTTCATTCCATTGCTTAGACCCTTTTTAAAAGGGTACTTGAACAAGTGCAAAGATTTACAGAGCAGGAGGCTGGCATTTTTCAACAACAACTTTGTTCAGAAAAGGAGGTCATCTTCTTTTTCTTTGCTTCGCTTTGCTTTTCCTTGAAGAATGCATTGAATATTGATTTTCTTTGTGCTGTTTTTTCCAGGGAAATAATGGCTGCCAATGGGGAGAAGCACAAGATAAGCTGTGCAATTGATCATATCATTGATGCTGAGATGAAAGGAGAAATAACAGAAGAGAACGTGCTTTACATTGTCGAAAACATTAACGTGGCGGCTATAGAAACAACTCTCTGGTCAATGGAGTGGGCTATAGCGGAGCTGGTAAACCATCCAACTGTCCAACAGAAGATCCGGGATGAGATCTCTACGGTGCTGAAAGGGCAGCCAGTCACAGAATCCAACCTGCTTCAACTACCATACTTGCAAGCAACAGTAAAGGAGACATTAAGGCTACATACCCCCATTCCATTGTTGGTACCACACATGAACCTGGAAGAAGCAAAGCTCGGAGGCTTTAGCATCCCTAGGGAGTCTAAAGTGGTGGTCAATGCCTGGTGGCTGGCTAACAACCCCAAGTGGTGGAGGAAACCGGAGGAGTTCAGGCCAGAGCGGTTCTTGGAAGAAGAAAGCAGCACAGACGCAGTTGCTGGAGGGAAAGTCGATTTCAGGTTCTTACCGTTTGGGATGGGAAGGCGTAGCTGCCCAGGGATCATCCTTGCACTGCCTATCCTGGGTCTCGTGATTGCAAGTCTGGTCACAAATTTTGAAATGAAAACTCCACCAGGAACAGATATGATCGATGTGAATGAAAAGGGAGGGCAATTCAGCTTGCACATAGCAAACTTTTCCACTGTTGTATTCAAGCCTATCAATGCATGATCCAGTGCGATCATCAGGCAATTACTCCCATAATTGCCTCAGATTTCTGTTTTCTATATTTCTCCAGAAATAATGTGTGATTACATAAACATGCAAAAGTTATATATGTTCTACAACAAAAAGCATTCTTACTTCCACATGAAATTTGTAGATGAACAGGGGAGAATTTTCCTATGACTGGGGAAGAGTATCATAAGATTTCATGGATAAATATTTTCACAAGTTTGTCATATGTAAGATGTGGATTCAAATACAGTAAAAATTACCAGCAGAAAGTGCAGCTCTATTGTCATATTATTCTTTTGTTCTACATGAACTTAATAATACTACTATGAAGGAAACAAAAGAAAACAATGGTGTCAGTTTATCTCACAGCTACCATGTCAAAATCGCCATCCAAACTTTTCTGCTACAGAGTGCAACAGGCACGGGCCCGCAAAAAAATTACTTACAAATATAGAGAATTTGCAAATATTATACCTCGGCGAAGGCTTTCACTGGCTACTGCAAACTTTCTCTCCAAATCAGTCTCTCCAACAGCTTGAGCAGCAGCGGAAAGCTGTGAAGAACGAGAAGCAGTATTCAAAAAGGCATTTCCCATGGAAATTGAACAAATTATAGAAGCAATGGAAAGCCAAATTTACACGGACTATATACATGTCATAATCACTTTTAAACATTCTATAAAAGATATAAAGGAAGTATGTTTATAGACCATCCATCACCAAGTTCCTGTATTCTCAAAAAGTAAAAGAAGTGCATAAGCATTTAAAAAGAATAGGTACTGCACATCATTCAGTATGGATAAATTTTTTGAGTTGTCCAGTGAAGAACTGAGAAGATTTTTTTTTTTTTTTTTCAGGGGCTGTTTCCATAGAAACTTGAAAAAAAGCAGAAGGAACAAAGAAAAAGAAATAAAGAAGAGAGACAAATTGATGATAATTGGAAATAAATTTGAACCTTTTGACCAATTTACCTGGTTCAGAAACTCATCAAGCCTTCTGGCACTCCGAATGATACTACCCTCAAATATATCAGTCATCTGTATTACGTCTGCAAAAGAAGCCCCCTGAGGAACAATTTGAAAGAGAATTAAATTAACAAACATGAAAATGAAAAAGAAGGAAATTGACAATCAAGATAAAAACAAGTTGATGCTACCAACTAAACCATCTCAGATTCAAAAGAAAAAAAAAATCCTAACCTTTGACCAACAGTAAATCACATCCATCAAGTATGGCCTCACTGTTGATTCCACATACTCATCCACATTTATTTCCAATTTGCATTCCCGTTGTATCTGCAATCATGAAGGAACATTTTTAATTACTCTCCTATCAATGAATCAAATTTATGAACAAAAACTTAACAGAGAAACACCTCCGCTATTTTTCTTGCAGTTTCTTGAAGTTGCTGCAATGGTTTAGCAAGCTCTGTCCTCAACTGTGTTTGTTCAGATGATTTATCTACTGGAATGAAACAGCTTGCAAGGGCTGCTACCTGGTGATGATCAAGATCATTGAATGTACCTGACCAAAAAGGTATTTTAACTTTAAAGACTCAAGCAGATGGCTCAAAAAAATAGGTGAAACTGTGACAGGCATCAGCACCAAAAGCTCTAACAAGCATGAATGTTATCAGAAAGACATGCTTTACTGGCCTCAAAGGTTAAGATTAAATTTGCCATATAATGCGAGACAAAGGTCACACAGCGAGCGAATCATATAAATTACAACTACGAAACCATTTTGAATGCATATTCTACAAGTTCAGTTATAATCTTTGATTATCCAATTAGCAACAGTGTTGAAAATTACCGTTGAACATCAGCTCAGTAACAAGCAGTTCATCTCCAGTGTCTATCAAGCAGGCTGCCCGCCCCTTCAGCTGGACAACACCATCAGCATCTATGTGGCCAAGCTTCTTCAAGACTCTTGAACGGTTCTTAAGTTCATCACGGAATTTTTGAAGCTGCCAGAAATGTGAAAATTTTAATTAGCAAAAATGGTAATCATAATTTATACTGAATAAAAATATGAAAATAACCAATTAACAAAATTCTTTGAAGATAACATAACCCAAACACTGGCCTGCAAGTCAGTGTAAAAAAAAAAAGAAATGAACACTAGTCCCTTCTTATACTAGAGGTAAACTGTAAATTTGATGCATGGAAAAGTCATTCCTCCAAGAATCTTTACTAGGAACCAAACATGAAATATGGAAATCAAATTTCATGGTTTCAAACTTTCAATTATCCAGCAATCACTTTCTTTATTCTTAAATGCCCTAAGCATTCTGTATTGGCGAAACTAAAAACAAAAATTTTTAATTCAAATATTATTCAGCAAAACTGAGCTGACTTATCAAATACAAGAAAATCTGCCCTCATTTTTTCAGACTCACATCATATCTACTAATATTAGCACATGCAACAATAAGTACCTGGGAATCACGCATTTTGGACTTCAGTTGTTGAATTTCATGATTAACCTCTGCTTTCCTTTTAAAATATGTAATCTGATGCTCATCTTGAGATTGCTGTGCAGCAAATAGAGTAAGAATGCATAATGAGTATATTGCTAACAAGATATCTTAGAATGATTGGGGAAACAAAGAACCTAATTTTGAATAAGATGAAAGACCTTGAAGCATGGATGAGAAAATAACTTCTTTTCAAGTTCTTCAATTTGTTTCACCAACTCAACAATTTCTGGATCTTCAATTTTCATGTCCTGCAAATCAAATCAAATAACAGAAAGACAAAGGCAGTTCAATTAGTTAATTCCATCCAGGATTCCCAATATCCAAATAATTAAATCTAAAAAACCGAAACAAATCTTAGGAAAAAATTATTCATAATCCCTAATAACTAATAAGTATAATGTTCTTTTTTTTTTGGAACAGCAATAAGTATGATATTAATTTTACCGTTACAGGATTAAGCTTTGGAAGGCCTTGAGGAAACCGAGTTTCTAGCCCCTGCACTGCAAGTAGTATATTTTGCCTTGCCTCCAAGGGACGAAGATCAGGAGAAATAGATATTCTAATTTTACTTAAAGCAGAAATTAGGGGCAACTGAACTGGAACCTAAAACAGATAAAAGAGATATCAGAACCTTCATGAACCGTGCCAGAACTTGTACCCTTGGTTACTAGACTTCATCAACTCACCACATGCATTTCCCCCTTCTCACCAGGATGGGGTGGGCATGGTTTTGATCGAGGTCCATTCTCACTTGAAGCGGGTGAACAATGGAGTAAAGTATCAACAATATAGCTGCCACCACGTGAGGGCAATGTACCTGACCCTGCGGAGGGCCTTTTCAAAACATTAACTACAACTCCCCACCCCCAATCTGTTCCCCCTTCCCTCACCTTGATCTGCAATGAACACTTCTGAGTAAGATACAAAGTCCAAGTTGTCATAACACTCTCAGCATAATTACAAGTTTTCAATAACTACCACCAACCTTTTGAAGTAAAAGTAATTTACAGGTAATACACATTACACAGGTTGGACCAGTTGGTATGCTTGCTGATTCATATCAATTTGCCATTTTATATGGATACATATACCAGTGCCAGCCTGACAAAGTACAATCATGAACAAGGATCCTACCATCCATTAACACCTCCCAATTCACGATACAATTTTTAGCATGGTTCAAAGAAATAGTACTTTAAATATCTAACGCCACAAGCTAATAGGAGTTAACATTTAAGACTGACTTTGACTTCATTAAACACACACTAAATGCTAATGGGAATAAATATCTAATGCTACAAGCTAATACAATTCTGAATTGCCTTCATGTACTTTTAGAATTAAAATATTTTTCTTAAATCCATTTTTAGTGCAGAGGAATAGTTATAAGGATAAAGAGAACATGATTTATAAGATATTTCAGTAGCTAGCAAGGAACAATTAGTGATTGGATTTTAAGAGGAACTTAAATTGCAATTAGCACTATCAGAAAATACCAGACGTCCAGGGTCGAGATAGTAAAGAACTCTTTCAGGCCTTAAGATTTCTGACATCAGCTTCATCTCTAGCTGTGCTATATCAAGTATTAGCTTGTGATATTCAGCGACTTCAGCCTGCAATTATAAACAAAAAGTTCATATTGCATAAAAATCAAAAAATTCAGGATTTGTTGTATGAAGCAATTAAACTCCAGCAGTTTCTAACTTATTGAGCAGAAAAATACACTTTGTTCCATGACCTTCATTTCCATTTAATTATCCTTCATTTTATCATTTTGTTAGCAATTGGGTCTTTCGGTTAACATTCACCATTATCCTTTGAAAGCAATGTAGGCCCCACTTCAAAAATTCATTATTAGTTTCCAAATAAAAGTTAACACCCACGTGGACACCCCTTGAATTTTCTACCAAAAGCTGGCAGTGAATCATAACATAGGGACACATTTATGATCAGGTAATAAGTTTAGGGTTAATTTGAGACAAATAAGGGTCAAAGACTGAAGTATGATGTTCAGGTTTGGAATTAAAGACAACGGAATGACAAAGACCAAATCTTGGTCCATGTGGCAGCAGTTAGGAATCCACTAAGAGTGAATCTCACTTAAATTCCTTTGTCAAAACAAATGAATAATAAGTATCAATATGTTTGAAATGGAAAGGAATTAGCATAATGGCAAAAATAATAACAATTTGCAGCAGCAATTGACAAATTCACTTCAGTATGAATCTGTCTCCTCAATTCCCTCAAAGAAACAAGATGTCAAGGACCAAGCAATAGAGATTAGTGATTACCTCTCCTGAAGAATCAAGCAAGGCAGCTTCCTGCTCCAGTTTAGAAACCTTTTCTCCTATGCCAGGTAAAGCCTGAAAACAGCTAAAATTAATTCATAAACCAAAAGCTCTTATGAAAGAGAAAGGGTTCAGAAGAAACCTTCTCATACTGAAATTGGTGGAATGAATTCCTTATTACATGCTCTGCACTGATCTGGCCTTCAGCACGGCTCATTAAATTCAAAATTGAATAATAGCTCAGTCTGAAAGTGCTGACCAGAGGTGCTGGTTTACCCAAAACCATGTCTTTAAGCATATTCATTTCCATCTGCAAAATGACACAATGGCAACAGTTCTTCCTGATTCTTTCCAAGAATATAACTAGAGAGTGAAAATGGCCACCAGCCTAACATTTTGCAGAACATGAATGTCCTATAGATGTCAATTTTTTTTAGGTTGAAAAAATAAACAACTTAAAATATTGAAAGGTTTAATTAAAACATATAAGCTTCAAAGGTTCAAATGGCCTGAGGATGTTTTAAAAGTAATTGACCAATCACCTGCTCATCAACCATTATGACACAAATTCCCCGCTCATCTTTGCCACGACGACCAGCCCTTCCACTCATCTACAGCATTTAGATAAAGAGTAAATAATAAAAAAAAAGGAAAAGAAAGAAAAAAGGAAAAAAGAAAAAAAAGAGGTGACTTAGATGTGAATAATTTGAAACAAAGGCAATAAAATTTCACTCACCTGGATATACTCACCCGATCCAATATAGCGGTGGCTATCACCATCCCACTTCTTAACAGAAGTAAACACAACAGTTTTTGCAGGCATGTTTAAACCCATAGCGAACTGACAGAAATAGAAGTTATTATGGAACGATATCTCAAAATTAATGCTTTCAGGTAACAATAAAATAGAGGCATTAATAATAAGATAAAAACCACAGAGAGGTTGGATGCCTAGAGAAAATGATCTTACAGTTTCTGTTGCAAAGAGAGCTTTTACAAGGCCTTCCTGGAAGAGAAGCTCCACCAATTCCTTGATTACAGGAAGAAGGCCAGAATGATGTACAGCAATGCCTCTCTTAAGTAGTGGCAACATTAACTCAATAGCAGGTAAATTTCTATCTTCCTCATTCAAACATAGCATTGCACTATGAAAAACCTTCTCCACATCATCTTTCTCCTCTTCTGTATTGAAGTCAAGCTTCGACATTGACATGGCGTGTTGTTCACACTCTCTTCTACTGAAGCTAAAAACTATGACAGGTTGAAATTTACGTTCCATAATCATCTGAAATTGGAAAAAGTTAAAACAAAAAATAATAAGAAATGACATACAACTATACAAGAAATTACGAGCATGACAAATTCTTCTATTCAACATTATGTGCATGACAAGCAGAAACACCTTACCAGCTAAACAAGAAAACTAGCAAAATAAAGATTTTCTTTTTCCTTTTCTCTTTTTCTTTCAGAAAAATTTATGCTTCAGAAGGAAGACACATTGCGCAAGTGATAAAACTAGAATATTCAGGAATAAGACCACAAAAGGTTGCAAATTAATCAAAAGAAGATACAGATTCCTGTATTTAAAATCACAAGTTGGAAACAAGAGACAGTTTTGGTCATTGAATTCCGTAAGGTTTGAATTGACCATCAAACTACAAATAATAATGATCTCTCTACTAAATTGCATATGTAAATATTTTCAACCCTGAGGCATACTAGACTGAGAACAGCAGAAAGGTGAAACGAAACAAAGGGCCCACTGGACCAAGCTTCTAATTTACTCTGCATTTCCAATGTAGCAGCTAAGTTAGGCCAAACAAGTTTCCTTAAAAAGCACTTTGGGCTTTTCTGTGAAAGCTGATTTCAGTATTGCTACAGCTCCGCATTTGAAACTTACGAAAAAGAGCATTCACAAGTCAAATTTTAGAAATAAAGGCAACCTTGGTTAGACTTCCAAAAATAAAGGGAAAAAAAAAATAAAAGAGAACAGAAAATTTTGGCAGAGCAAATAATTGAAGGACCCAAAAAGAATAGCAATCAAGAGCAATACTTAAATTACAGACCACACCTTCACAATTTTGTATATGTCAGAAACTCCTGATGAAGGAATCCAGCCTTTGGCAGCTTTCCCACTGGCTCTCCCATTTGAACTCTTGTTTCCATCACTCTGTTTCTGCTTTGAGAAAGTATCCTGGAGCTTCATGAAATTGTCCTCTCTGAACTGCTCATTCTCATCAACTACAAGATATAGCCCACTCCCACCCATGGGAAAAACATAATGCTGCAATGGAGTTGGCCGGAAATCAGTGTACACAACATGACATGGTTGCTTGTGCAAATGACAAATCCACTCAGCAAACTCAGTAGCATTGGACATTGTCGCTGAAAGAAAGACCATCTTTATAGCTGGTGGCAAAAATATAATACTTTCTTCCCAAACAAC